AAGCCAAGAACTAATTTTTCTCGTGAGCTTCAGTTGAAGACAACGGTCCATGAAGGCGGCACGCGCAGGAATCTATGGGGACCTGACAGGTCTCTCAGTTTAGTATTTATACCCCTTTTGAAATGTGATCTGTGTACCGGTAACATCCAGATGCTGTGCTCTGAAAACCAGGTTGGCTGCCTGAGGACTTGAGGCCATAGACCTCAGGTTGAGGCCTTGCTTCTCTGCATATATTTTTTTTTTCAAGATATTTTTTAGTTTTAGGTGGACACAATATATTTTATTTTTATGTGGTGCTGAGAATCGAACCCAGTGCCTCACACATGCTAGGTGAGTGTGCTACCATTTGAGCCACATCCTCAGCCCTCTCTGCATACATTTTGATCCTGGACACTATATCATTAGTAATGTGGCACAGTGATAACTGGCCTTATGTGCTTGGTTAATTCAAGTAGTGCATCTATACTGCCGGTGCATGGGTGTTGAGTGAATGATGCTTTATTCCAGGCCATGTCTGGGTGGGCCTCATGCTGCCGCAGTTCACTGGGCTAGGTCCCAGATCATCAGCTGCCGTCAGGATAACTGTGAACCCTTGCCACGCCCTTGGTAAATTTCCCCATGTTTTGTATTCACCTTTCCCAGCTATAATCTTAGGTGACCCAAACATGTTGGAGATGTGGCCTAAATCATTTTCTAAAATGCCTTTCAGGTAGGTCATAGACCTAGGCCATTCTCCATGAGAGTTTATTGATTTTTGCATTTCTTCTGATCAACCCACCCATCTTCTGCCATTTTCAACATATTTCAGGTTTTATGCTTTTAACCCTAACCTCAACCGTTGTGTCTTCATACAATACTTCAGCCATTTCACCTATTCCTGATTCTTCCAGTAAGCTCATAAATCTCTCTTCTTTTTGCCTTCCTAGTTGCTAGATCATATTCCTTCTTCTTCCCCCAATTCCTCTCCTTTACACACTTGTTATTCTGTCCAACTTTCAGTTCCTTTCTTCTCATTCAGGCTTTGATCCTCACCTCTACACCAAAGAAGACCACAATTAACAGCAATTCAAAATTCAAAGTCCTCTTTATTAATTATTTTTTAATCAATTTTATTACATTTTTAATTCAATGCTGTTACATTTTTAAAAATATATTAAAATGAATAAATTTTTATCTATGTGGAAAAACATTTGATACTCAAGAGATAGTAGAAGACCTCCTTATTATCTATGAACCAATTTCTAATATATTTCTTTATTCAATCTTATTGTTTTGAAAATATGTCCGAATGAATAAATTTGTACTTACCTATATCTACATATATGTGGAAAACTATGTGGTGCCCCAGTGGTACTGGAAGGCCTCTTTATTACTTATATATTAAACAATTCTATTTCATTTCTTCGTTCAACTTTACTAAGTGTCAAAAATTCACTGATAAGTGAATAAATTTGTATCCATCTATATATATGTGTGGAAAACTATTTGGTATTCAAATGGTATCTGAAATCCTGTTTATTACTTACCCATTAATCAATTCTATTTATTTATTCAACTTTGTCACATTCTGAAATTATGTCAGAATGAATGAATTCATATCTATGTATAAATGTATATATGTAGAACACTGTTTGGTACCTATCTGGTACTAGAAGGCCTCTTTATTATCCATGAATTCTCAGTGGTACCAGAAGGCTTATTACTTATATATTAGTAAACTTTATTATATTTCTTTAATTTTATTAAAATTTGAAAACATATGAGAATAAATAATCTATCATCTATCTATCTATCTATATGTGTAAAACTTTGGTACCTAAATGGCACCATCAATCTAATGAGCCCTTATATTATATATAACCATAGTAGCGAGAAATATCCATCTCTCTTTCCCTCTCAATGAAATACTGAACTTTCCCCAAAGCAGTGTACTTGGCAGCATTCTCACGCTCTTGTTGAGCCTTCTTCTTCATGGTTTCCCGCTCTGGCCTCTGCTCTTCTGTGATGGGAGTTGACATTACTGGCTCAGGAACATTGGGTTTCCTCCATGGAATTGGTTGTAAGGCGAAGTCTTGGAGTAGATACTGGTTTTGAGGCTTGTATGGTAGTGGTTGGGGCTTGGTCACTACAGTGGAAGCAGGGTCCCGCTGGAGAGAAGTACAAGATGATGTTTTGTAGGGTGCAGGCCTAGAAGCAGCAGACGGAGGGACACTAGGCTGGGTAGCAGTGGTAAAACTTGACTGAATTGCACTGTTTAAAACTGGCTGAGCTGGCTTGGCTGGACGCATCCAAGATGGGTTGGCAGTAGCTGGTTGGGATTGGTTGACTGCCGTGGGTTGAGCCAAGCTAGTAGAAGCAGGCTGAGCAGGGTAAGCCACATTGGGTTTTCGTGAGGCCAGAGACTGTGGCCTCCGATAGGCAGGTCGAGGTTGAGGTTTCTCTGGGGTAAGAAAAGGCAGAGGTACCAATTTAACCTTCCCAGGTGGTGGAAGCTCATACTGGGAAGAAGATGGACACCCTTTTTCAGCACCGACATCTGGTTTCTGGGATTTAACTTGTGTTTTCTCAGGATCTTTAACCTCCAGCCATGGTTTCATAGCTGGGCATGGACGGGGGTCTTTGGTACTGCCTGAGTTGCCCAGGGCCCGGGAGGAAGAGATCCCAGTTTTCTTATCATTCTTCTTCCCCAGTGCATGGAAAACCTGCACCGACTCCAGCATGTGCATGCCGAGACAGCTCCGAGGCTTTTTGAAGGTTTCTTGGCAAAGCTCAGGTTGGTTCCTCTTCCGCTTTGTCTTAGGAGCAGTAGGCTTCTCTTCTGCCTTGAGTGTTTTGCCTGCCTGCTTCCTCTCTTCGGCTTTCTTGGAGCTGTTTTCTCTGCTCCTTTTGTTTTTCTCCTGCCCGTGGCCCTTAGCTCTGCTGTTCCTATTGGATGCGGCTTTCTGAGATTTGCCATTAGAGGGCTGGGTGGTGTGCACAGGAGACCTATTATTGACTGCATCACTGCAAGTAACTTCTCCCTCTAATGGGCACTCTGGGTTCCTCGACTGGATCTTGGCCTGAGGAGTTCCATCAGGAGGCTCCGAGGCTTTGTGTTTGTTCTTCCTCACTGGTTCTCCAGGACCCTCTTTGATGTTTGAGATTTCTTGCCCCTTATTCATCATGATGGCTCCTATATCATTAGATTGTATTATTGTGGGACTCTCAGGTGGATCAAGGTCTTTCAAGCAACTGAAGAGCTCCGGAAGGTGAATATCGTCCACCAGTGCAGCGAGGTCTGGAAAATCGCTGCTAAAGTCAATCTCATTTTCAAGTGACCCCTGGTCCTGAAGACTCAGACTTTGGTTTTCCAGATTGATATTTTCACAAAGTGGCATCTCCTCTTGGTCCAGAGGACCAATGGAGGCCAGAAGCTGGTGGATATCAGGAATTTCTAATGGAAGTAGTGGAGGATCCTGGTTTTCTATTGCAATCTGGTAGGCATCCAGAGGCTTTGAAAGCATGTTGTTAATTTCATCCAAATTCTTACTCTCCATTTGCTCCTCTCTTGGAGTTGGAGGAAGATTCAAGAAATCAGAAGAACTCTGGATTGGAGTAATTGATATGTCCCCAAGTTCAGTTGGTGGATTACTCTCAAGTATTTGGATATTTCTGCTGCTGCAGGAGTTGGGGATTTCTGGAGGTGGCGGCAGACAAAATGTCTGACTTGGAGGTTGCAATCCCAAGGAAGCCTCCATCCCTAGGGAAGTTTCCATTACTACAAAGGAATCAAGGAAGATGGTAAGTAGGATGCTCCCCCCTACACGGCAACACGTTAATCAGGGAACCGCCAACTGTGGAGAAGGCATTTCTAGTAGCTCTTCCTAAGCACCATGGACAGGTCTCCATTGGGAGGTAGGTGGTGACTCTTAGTTACTGGTGACCACTTGGGGCTGGCAGCATTGTTATGCCAGCATGGCTCAGTGGTATAGCACTTGCCTAATCCATGGGAAACCCATAAAAAATGTTTTATGAAGTCTACAATTCTCCTATAAGGTCCTCTCAACTCTCTACATTCTCCCCAAGACTTTAAGACACCTGAACTAGAAGAGAGTGGAGCCCTTCTTCATGAAATATATGTGGAAGAACAGATTTTTAAGACATCTGCTTTGGAAGGATTTCTGAATACAAAGTTTAAATCTTGGAGTAAATTAAGGAAAAATTAAACTGTACCATGGTAAGTTCTGAAGTATCTTCCTAAGACACTCAGCAAGATCAGGGAAATAAATTTATAATGTGTTGTTGTAGATGGACTGATCTGTCAAGGCAGTGAGAAGTAGCCTCCTTCAGTGTGCTCCTGGCAGTCTCCTAAATGCATGGTGGATGGCCATTACAGTGTCTTGAATTTTCATCCCTTTTTTAAAATATATTTTTTAAATGTTGATGGACTTTTATTTTATTCATTTACTTATATGCAGTGCTGAGACTTGAACCCAGTGCCTCATGCCTGCTAAGCAAGTGCTCTACCACTGAGCCACAACCCCAGCCCCTGCACTCTTATCTTACAGAGTCTGAAAATACAGAGTGCTGAACAAGGAGAGTGGTTAAAGTCTCAGGATTTAAATTCTATGAATCTGTGGACCCACAGGTACCAGCTGAAAATTGGACCCTCCTTTTGAATGCTGTTCTGATTCATTCCCCTTTTTGCTGTTTATACTCACCTTGACTATTTGTTTCTGTGATAGGTTGAGCAGACACAGAGTAATAGATCCCCGGGGTAGAGACTGATGGTAGGACATTTGTGGGCTGAACCTCCTTCAGCACCATCACCATTTCTGGTTGAGAGGCAGTGGCCCTACCTCCTGCATATGGCACAGAACCATAGGATTGCAGGCAGGGGCCAAGTTCTCCAGAGAGCAGAGTCCCCAGAGTGTTTTGATCATAATAGTAGACTTGGCTTCCTTCTTGGTAGGGAAGTGACAGACTCTGTCCCTGATTTGGAATCTGAAATGGTGTTGCCTGGACAAGCCTGCCAGACAGTGATGGATACATGGGGACGATAGTATTGGCATCTGAAGTTTTATCATATTGGGCTGTCATAGACATGGAGGAACCTGCTGGGTCCTGATCAATGACAGTCAGGGTAAAGTCCCCAAGTGAAGATGACTTCTTTTCAGTACCTCCTGTAACATTCCACTCAAAAATGCTTGGATAGGAGGCAGGTGCTGTGGGGATCTGGTTCTGACCAGTAACCCCAGACACCATGGCTGTACTAGAATGCTGATAAAGGTAGGCACTGCCCATGAGAGGCTGGAAGGAGGTGCCAGAGGTTGAGGGCAGTAGCCATGCTGAACTGGCAGCTGGAGCAGAGACTCTGGAGAAGTCGCAGACACTTCCTGTCAGAGAAGCTGAATTGCTCACCACAGGAAGAGAGAGCTGCAGAGAATTTGCAGTTCCAAGTAAAGAAGAATTTTGGAAGTTTCCTGTAGGAAGCAAGAGGTTGATAAAAAAAAAAATCGATGAGACAGATTCTTACAATATTTGAGGAACAATATTATCTTAAGATTGTGGGAGTCAGCAAGGCTGTAATACCAACAATCATCGAAATACCACAAAACAAACCATTTTGGATGGTTGCAAGTCTTGCAAGTTTGCTACTCTTCTAATCAACTGTGCTTTCTCTCAAATTGGGCACAGAAGACCCACGTGGTCTTCTTCAAACATTATTTCCTAAAAGCATCCTTCTTCCTGCCCTATCTTTCCTTGGAGTCTGTACTAGTATGAACTCATGAATATGGCCTAGAACTGAAGCATTTTAGAACTAAAAGAACATCTAACATTATCAGCTTTCAAGTGACTAAACTGTGGGTCAGAGAGGTAAGATTGAGGTGTTCAATATCAGTAACAAGTTATAGAAAATTATTCCCTTTCCAGGACTCTGTGCTCTAGACAAAGATCATAAATCAGGAGAAATAGAATTTGATTTTTCCCCATTCAGAGAAAACAGTACTGGTATCATCACTGTTATCTTCAGTGTCTCATTTGCTTGTGCCGATCACATGACATTATTCCTAGAGTTTAGTTGTAACATCCAGATGGTAACTTAAAGGGTCATTTCTTTACCCTATGGATGCCTGGCTTCGGATCCTATGTCAAAATGACTACCTGAGAGTAAGTTCTCAAGAAATGCTTCTTGGAAGAAAAAAGTTATTTAAACGTTCTCACTTTAGGTTAGTCATTTGTAAAGGTGGTTATAATACTAACAGTGACAATTCATCCATGAATAAAAGTGATATATTACATAAGACTTATATGGAGGAAGATATAAGTTCTGAAAATGTAGAAAGAACATATGAAAAACAGCACAGAACTAAAAATAATACATAGACACTAATAAAAATTTGGATATGTAAAAAATATCAAAGCATAGCAAATTTACTACTAAATGAAGTTTTGTTATCATACATACCATGTGATGAAAGTGAATTTATTTTAATGAATACTGTTAGCCAAAACACTGCCACAATTGAAGGTGATTTTGAATTAATTTCTAACCAGTGCATATAGACAAAGAAACTACAAAAACAACAAAAAGTGTGTAATAAGCAACAAAATTAAGTAAATGTGAATATATAAGTAGCCACAATTTATATAGGTAAATATTTCAATAAAAAGTATGATGGAGCCAGGGGCAGTGGCACAGACCTGTAATCTCAGCTACTCAAGAGGCTGAAGCAGGAGAATAGCAAGTTAGAGGATGGCCTTGGCAATTAACAAAACTCTTCATCAAAATAAATTTGAAAAGGGCTGGGGGTGTGACTCAGTGGTAAAGTGTCCCTAGGATGAATCCCTGATACTGCATAAAACCAACACCAAAACCAATCCTGCTATGTGCAAAAGCAAAAACCAAAGCAAAAACCCACTAT